TATGAAATCCAAATAATACAAAATCTTACAAAATAAAAACAAGATGACAGAAGCCCAACAGCCTCTCTCCCCCGGCTGCCCCCACTCCCCCGCACCGCCATCACATCCACAAACCCACCATGAAGCGCACACCGCAACATCGCTCCCACCGCTCAGTAGACACTTTATGCCATTGGACGGACCCTCTCCACCAATAGTGCCAGCTCTGCTGCGCAGCAACGCTGTTTGTTTTGTTTGCAACAAACTGCGCCGTGTGATGACGCCATCGGCCGTGCAGGTGTGAACCCGGGCTACAGAACCACAGGTAACAGCGCCCGAGCACGGCACGGCCCAAGAGTCGCAGCACGAGTGCGTCTCTAGTACAGCAGGCGCTGGGATAGACAGTTGTGCTGACTGAACATCCCTGAGCAAATCCCAAGTATAACTTTGTTATATATTATTCACTGGCACACAGTGTCCTGTGTATTCATTTACATTGCAGTGGTAAGCATTTTCAACTCTCCAGATACCAATCTCTCAGATTTCTATTTCTATCTTTTGCTTGTATCAGAAGTGATCAGATGTCGCTGCACCAACATCTCAGACTGATCTTTCCATTGTTTCCAAAAAGCCTCCATCACTAACCTCATTATCCTTTCAGTGTATGAGACTCTCCCTGTAGAGACTACACACTTCAGTGAATCCTCTTGTCCTTTTGTGTCACGTTATTGTTCAAGTGTCGAAGAGGTGACGAAAGCGCTCTTTGCATTCACTAACTTTGTTGCTCTGTAAAACTCGTATTTTCTTTGTAAATTCAGAAGTCATAATGAACTCAGTGGTTTATTTTAAGGGCCTGTACCAGACTTTTTTTCTGCTAGATCCAGGATGGTACCCAAAGAGAACCATTCAGAATCAAGTGCCTATGGCTGTCCAAGACAGTTGTTTATCTGTGACGGTGCAACATTAGAGTGAGAGAAGTGGGGACAAACTATAATGTTCCTTTTTTTTTTTTTTTTTTTTTTTTTAAAAGCCTATGTTTTCTATATATCAGGATATAAGATATAAATAGTTACTCTGAAGGTAATCAGAAAATACATTTTTGGTCTTTCTTTAACACTGTAATGTTGCTAGTAACACCTAGTTACAGTATCTCACAGCATCTCATTGTGTCATTTTCCAGATGTTAACTTGAATATTTAAGTAAAGTGCTACCAGTTTGACGTAAACGGATGTATGGAGTGCATATGTGCAACAGACACATTATCCATATAGTGCTCAGAAATATCTGAGGAAGTTGTTTGTCGTCATGGAACTGTCTGCTTCAGATCAGAGTGACCACAGCACATTTAAACAACTGTACACACTCAGTACACACATGTGATCCACTAACTTCACCCCAAACAATCCATTGTCCAGTGCTTTTAGATTAAGGTCAGGCATTTTGCGCTTGAAAACTTTTGTCAACAAATGAAACTAAATGGTTTCATGTTGAACCTAATGATAAAATGATGGAATAAGTAGCTTTTTAAAATGTATTTTAAATACATTTTTGGCAAAAGTCCCTTTCCCTGATAAATACATTATTGGAGGACATGGAAATGTCTGACTATACACAATACAACTAAAACCTTGTCCTCTGGGCCAGGCTGAGATTACTAATCTCAGTGGGACTATCCTGGCAAGCAATAAAGGGCAATAAATAGATCAGTAAAGATAAGCTCTATGTAACATTGCATTGTTGACCGCAGTTTTGTTAGTTTTTCACTTGCTGTGTCCAAATGCAGTTGGACTAGTAAGTTGAGGCAAAGTTGAGACAACACGCAGCTTATGTAACTGATCAGAGTCATGTGCAGGCTTTTGCTGCATGCCTGTAGTTAAGGTTGTTAATGTGAAGGTTATCTGGCACTGGTAAAGCAGAGCTTTAGTTATAACTGAATAATAACTTTTGGGCCATGCCTGATTGTTTGTAGATAAATGCATTCAACATTCATTTGATCATAATAGAACTATTTGATAAAGCAGCTCCTGGTTACAGCAACTCTGGGCCATCAGGGGAACCCTTCAGAGCTTTTGCAGTGAGCCTTGTGGAGAGTCATCATGGTACAGTTTGCACTGGCGTGCTAAGCTCTCGATGCTCTGCCATTGTTGAGTAAAGTCGCCCTTTGTGTGGCTTCAGCCATGTAGATGATGTTGGTTAAGTCATCCTGTGTCACTTTTGCACCACATGCTTTTCTTGAGGGCAACTCAGTTTCACAGCCACGTTTTACCTAGACAGTAGATAAACTGTGCAGGGCAGAGCAAGGCTATTTGCCACAGGCTAAGACACATTAAATACTGTAAAGTAGCACCCATTTTGATTTTCCCTGCGTCCAACCAGTAAATCTATTGACTAAAAGATTTGCTTTATGAATGAAGATATTCATTACTCTCAATGTCAGGAGCTCTTGGAGTTGTTTGGTTTAGTTTTGTCTAAAACATGTTTTTTGTTCAAACCAGTAACTCTGCATTCCTCTCCTGCAGGTGAAATAAATCACTAGCACTCAAATATGACCAATTTGCATGAGTTTGAGAACCTCTGTGGATGTTGGACACACTACACTATTCTGATAAGTAACTGTAGTCTCAGACCACAAATATAATCCTCATGTTTAAAATCTTCATGCTTCAACCTGTACAGTCAATTTGAGATGAGTGTAATTTGAACATAAAATGACAGGCCTCATGTCTCACCATGCTGTGTACTGCTTTACCACAAAATCTGACCAAAACAGTGAAGAGTGTATAATGGCCTATTGTCAGTTTTGTTGTGGCAGCTCAGTCCCCTGTGACAGCTCTTTTCTGGAGGCCATTAGCAGTTTGTGCGTCATTTCCCCGAGCTACCATATTATGACTTCACTCTTATGCTGAGACTGGCCATATCTCCTTGGGGGTTCCTCTCGATGAACAATAGATGAAAAACAGTTGAATAAAGAAAGTTAGTAACATACTTACCTATGGCAACTGTGAGGAAAGCAGACAAAATGCTCTGCTGTATGCCTAGTGAACTGTACTCTCTTGGACAAAATCTTGACTTTCAAACCTGTGTTTTCCATTGTCATGTGATATAGTATGTGAACGTATTTGTTCATCTTTGTACGACACACTAAAGGATTATAATAACACACACGCTACCTGTTTATGTTCCCTCTGAAATTACATCCTGAAGTCCCCTACCAAGCTTCCCATGTACTTTCCCTGAGCATCTGGCTGTGGTTATCAACAGTACTTCCACAGCTTTCTTCACCACAGATGTAAATTAAAGTAGATTTTTGTTCATTATTACAGTTGCAACATTTCTTTTTGTCTAAAATATAAATATGAACAGTGGTTAAGTTATCAACCTGAAGTTCATGAACAATGTTCAGGTTGAAACATTGACACTAAATACAAAACAATTTGATGAAATAATGATGGGCCTGTAATAAGGGCATACACGTAATCCCGCAGAGATGCTGAGTCATCAGGAGCACATACGGTGACAGATGGCTCAGGTGGAGCCATGGCCACTCTGCATGCCCAGCCCTGCCACTCATTGATAATTTAGAGCAGCTATTTAAATGTCATTGTAAAAGGGTCTGTCTGTTGAGAGAGCTTTATACACATGTGGGTCATGTTTCCTTTTGTCCTCACATTACTCTGCAGCCGGGTAACTAAAACATATCTTACCTTTTATTGACATTACGTGCAAGAGCAGAACAGTAAATGGCTGAAGTAGGACTGTTTTTTTTTAATTGCCTGATATATTGTAAATGGTTTGCTCTGAGTTGGTTAACTGTCCAGTTTCATGTTAACTTGTTTTCATCAATGACGAGGAAGCCCAGGGCTAAACATGCTGTGGGCCTGATCAATGGCATGGAGACCACAGTGCATCGCTGTCCCACACTGGTTTCCGCTCCTATAAATACAACCAATGGTCTGTGCAATCTATACCTCAGAGGTCATTCATGCCAATCAAATGCATGCAAATGGACATTTTACTTACAAGTTTTTTCTGTAAATGGGGCCAGTGTTGCCCTTGTCTTATCAAGAGCACGAGAGGTTCTTACATTTGCTTGAAATGCTGTGTGTCATTGTGATACACGGGCTACAATAAAATGCCCTTGATATCGCTTTAGCAGAATCATTCCAAGCCTAGTATTGTGTCTCAAAAGTGAGGAAATGAGCAACATGTGAGGGCAGAAATTGTGTTTGCAGTTAAACCTTAAAGAGCCCATATTATGCCATTTCTGATCTAAGTTAAATGTTGTTTCCTCATCATAAACATAGCTGAAATTCTGATTGCCAATCTCTACTGAACAAAATGTAAAAAGGCAGCGATATACTTTAGCTACCACTACATGACATCAGAGAACAGAGCATATAGACAGACCAATAATCCAGGATTACTTAAGCACGTATGAATGAAACAAACCTGCGGGAATGTTTTTTTTTATTGAGGTAACAACATTATAACATGACTTAAAGCTCACAAGAGTCAATTTTGTATAATCTATGATGTTCTAATTATTAAATTGTTTCTCAGTTCTGTATTAACAATGCACATCTGAACAAAAATATCTCAAAAGAACAGAGCTATTTGGTTGTCTGAGGACCAAAACATAATTTTGCTATTGGCTTTAGAACAGTTGAGTGAGGTCAGTGAATAATATCAGTTCCTTCATCCTCCGGGATGCTGGCTTCTTCAGAGCTGGATTGTGTAGTGGCACAACTGGGCAGTTCTTTAACAACTCTATAAACATTTTATGTACAGCTTGGTGGAGAGGCCACCAACGTCACGTCATTGTCTGTTCACAGGGAGAGGCTTCCTGTATTTTAAATGACAGGACATGCATCCTGAATGCCATCACACAATTCTGTTTATGCAGATTGGAGAGAATATAAGAGTACAAGTGATTACACTGAATGTATTTGTGGTTATAAAACTATTTAAATACTTCATTAAAGCTATACAAAAAAGTAATAATAAAAATATTGTGTTTTAGGAGCCATTTGAGGATGGATTTGCCAACGGTGATGAGCTCACTCCTGCTGAAGAGGCTGCTGCAAAGGAGGCTGCAGAGTCCAAAGGGGTGGTCAAGTTCGGCTGGATAAAGGGCGTCCTGGTGAGTGGACCTGGGCTTCAAAACAATATATACTTAGTGTTATCTGCAAACTTTTCAGTGTGGTGAGTGAATAGAGTTGAGTTGAGAAGTGTGGCACTGTTTACTTTAGATACATGTGTTGATTACACTGGGTTGTGGATTTTGTAAAGTAAGTGGGAATTACAGGAGACTGAGACGCTGATGGTTATAGAACCACATGAAGAAATCCCATATTTGCCTCAGATATGAGTCAGCACTTACTGATATGAATTTATCACAACTTCTTATGGCTCTGGATTGCTTCATTCAACTTTATTTGACATTAAAAATCTTCTCTTCCTCTTGAGTTTAATCATATCTTTTTTCTTCTTTGTTTTTAAACATTTGCATCAGCAGCATTATGTAAAGGACAGTAACACGTGTTATGAAAAATGAGAGAAACGCTTAGATTAGGCCTCTCATAAACTATCTTTGTATTTTAGGTTCGCTGTATGCTTAACATCTGGGGTGTGATGTTGTTCATCCGAATGTCATGGATTGTGGGACAAGCTGGAATTGGTAAGTACACAAATCTTATTGTGGGTACTTGACGTGATGCCCATTTTCGGTATTATCACTTTAAATTACTTTCTAAATAATATTTTTCTTCCTCAATTCTGCACAAATATGTATTCCATAAATTGCATAGTTTTAGAACATAGTTGTGTTCAATTTCTTTCTATTTTCAAACTAAACACTCAAATATCCTGTGGTGTGACTGTAACTTTTCTTAAATACATTTTACAATGAGTCTCTTGGGTCAGATAGTTCTTAAAGGTGCTGGTGTAAAGGAAAGCATGTGAACATTATTTAATAATATTACAACTTTATATTTAAATTTATTTATATAACCAGTTTAATGATGTAATCTAGAAGCAGAGATTAAAAAAGACAGTTACACAAAAACTAGAATGAGCTCATCTGACATGTATGCACCAGGAAGAGCTTTTGGGCTAAGGGTTTAACCTACAGAACAAATTTATCATTATAATTTGCTTATTTTTGTAAAATCCAACTTTTTTGGAAAAACTTTGAACATGTGCCTGTTTGATGTCCTGCCATGTGACAGCTGTATTTTCTAAAAAACAATTGTAACTCCTAACTTAAAGAATATCTTTTCATTTTTTAGAATTCAACTAGCACTACAGACATGTTAAGTAATTTTTTAGAATTGTTTGACATGGCAAATTTGTAGTGAATGTCCAGTAGAGTGACAGGAAGAGTCACACCACAGGGCATGTTAAAATGTCTAAAACTGTTAAAGAATTACACAAAAAATGTGTTTGTGAAAACAGTTGTGTAGAACTGATTTGTGTTTGAAAATAGTTTGGGGATTTTGTTATAAAGGTGTGTCACACCGCAGGACAGAAAAATGGCGTTTTACCCCCAAACGTCAAGTACCTTTTACTAATTCTGAGTTGTTGACATTTAAATATTTCATCTGTACACTGTTTACTGTTGCCCACAAATGTATGTAAATAGATTTTTATCCCTTTAGTCACAAAGAATATCAGATCCATCAGCATTCAGTTTCATTGTTATTGAGGCTTTGTTCCTCTTCCATCCATCACACAGTCCCTGTCATCACGCCCCGTTTGTGTGGGACGTGTCGCTCAGCACCATGCTTCTTTTGCCCACATACTTCATACAGTTATTATTTGGTAATATTTGTATTTCATGTTGAAATGTTTTCGTTTGAAGACACTCACTGCCCATATGTGAAGCTTATTAAACTTTATCACTATAACTCCCTGGTAGGACTGTCACAATAATTACTAAATCCATTTATTGTTCAGTTGGTACTGAATATTTATTGTGGGTACATTTTTGTTGCAAAATTGGTGAGAGTTTTGTTATTTTTGTTGAAATACGATAAGATTTGAGCTGTAGAGAAATGAATATTGTTATGGCAAATTATTTGTTAATTCTGCTATTTATTTGTTGCAGCTCATGCTTTTTAATGATCCTGTCTATTTGAAAATGATTCACTAGAATTATCTTGCTTTATTTTAATCTTAATCAGTGGCATAAAATAGTTTAAATATTATTGTGTATTATATTTCTCTGTAGCAATACATTGTGCTTCAAAATTTGTTATTGTGACAGACCTACTCCCTGGGACACAGCACTGTGATGTTGGTGCCATTCAGGAGTTCATTTTAGATCAGTGTTTCTCCCTTTGGTCTGAAGTGACACACTGCTTTATTATCTCAGGCTGGCTCATGTTGATAGTACTTCACTTGGGTGTGAAATATCACTACAAAGTGGCACATGTGGCAGAGTGCAGCCACAGAGGCTCCTCTAATGACTGCAATGCTGCTTTTCACAGAGCAAGGAAACCAAAGTGAAAACTTGTGAAATA